AGAGTGATACTGGCATAAAGACAGGCAAATAGCCAAGTGGGCTAGGATACGGAGCCCCCCAGTCAACCCCTGAATGTATGGGCTAATGATCTTCAGCAAAGATGCCATGACCTCTCAATGGGGAAAGGACAGCCTCTTCAACAAATGTTGCTGGGAACGAAGGGGGTCCACAAGCAAAAGAATGAAGTTGCCCCCTGACCTTATACCATATAAAATTAACCCAACGTAGATTAAAGACCTAAATATAAGACCTGAAACCACAAAGGAATACATAGAGGAAAAGCTTCATGACACTGGACTTGGCAATGATTCTAGATCTGACACCCAAAGCTCAGGTAACAAAAGTGAAAATAGGCAAATGTGATTACGTCAAACTTAACAGACTTTTCTACAACAAAGGGCACAATCAACAAAGTGAAATGGCAACCTACAGAATGGGGGGAAATGTTTGCAAATCATATATCTGATGAGGGGTTAATATCCAGAATGTATAATGAACTCTTACAGCTCTACAACCACAAAAAATTAAATAACCCAATAAAAATGGGCAAAGGGTTTGAATAGACTTTTACCTGAAGATAATATACAGTTAACCAAGCAGCATATGAAATGATGTTCAACATTTGCTGTCAGAGAAATGCCAATCAGAACTACAGTAAACACCACCTCACACACATTAGGATGGCTATGATTTGAAAAACACAAAAAATAACAAGTAAGTACGTGGAGAAGCTGGAACCCTTGTACACTGTTAGCGGGATTGGAAAATCGTGCAACCCTATGGAAAGTAGTATGACTGTATACCCAAAATAATTGAAAGCAGGGTCTCAAGGAGATTTTTGCACACCCATGTTCATAGAGCACTTCACATTTAGCCCAAAAGTGGAGCAACCCAAATGTCAATCAGTGGATGAATGGATAAGCAAAAATGTGGTGTACATACAGTGAAATATTCAGCCTTCAAAAAAGGAGGTACTTCTGACCTATTTTGTAACATGGATAAACTTTGAGAACATTTTTTAAATGAAATAAGCCAGTCATAGAAAGAAAATATTCTATGATTTCACTTTCATAAATTACCTATATATTCAGATTCACAGAAGAGAAAGTAGAATGATGGTTACCGGAAGTCAGGGGAGGGGGAAAAGGGAAGTTTTTTAATGAGTATAGACTTTAAGATTTGCAAGATGAAGAAGTTCTGGAAATCTGTTTCACAACAATGTGACTATACATGACACTGCTGACACTATACATGTAAAAAGCATTAAGGTGGTAAACTGTGTTTTTTAACCATAAGAGAAAGAATGCAAAGGCAAAAACAATTTGCTACAAAGCTACAAGAATCAAGGAGTGTTACACTGGCATCAAACCAAACATGGAGATCAATGCGATACAGTTAAGAGTTCAGAAGTAAACCCTTTTATGGTCAGTTGATTTTTGACAAGGATGCCAAGGCCATTCAGTGGGGAAGGAATGCATATGCTGGGACAATTGGATAGCCACATGCAAAGGATTTGTATTTCCCACCCTGTAGAAAAAATTAATGGAAAACGGATCAAATATCTAAGTGTAAGATCTAACACTAAAACCTCTTAGAAAACAGAGGAGTAAACCTTTGTGACCTTGGGTTAGACATAGCTTGTTACATATGATACCAAAAGCACAAGCAACAAAAGAAAAATATAAATTGGGTATCATCTAAGTTAAAACCTTTCTGTCTTCAAAGAACACCATCAAGTGAAAAGACAACCCACAGAATGGGAGGAAGTATCTGCAAAGTACGTGTGTGATAAGGAGCTTATGTCCAGAATATATAAAGAACACTTAACAAGTCAACAGTAAAAAAACAAATAAGAAAGGGGTGGAGGATTTGAACAGGCATTTCTCCAAAGAATATATACGAATGGCCAATAAGCACATGAACGGATGCTGAACATCATTCGTCATGAGGAAAATGCAAATCAGAACAACAAGACACCAGTTCACCCCCACTAGGTTGGCTAAAATAGAAAGGACAGATGAGTGCTGGTGCAGATGTAGAGAAATGGAAACTCGCACGCATTTGCAGTGGGGACGGAAACTGGTGCCGCCAGTCCTCACATGATTAAACATAGCTACCGTATGACCCAGCAATCCCACTCCTGAGTTATATGCACAGGAGGAATGAAAACATGTCCACACAAAACCTTGTACACACATATTTATAGCAACATTATAATAACTAAAATGTGGAAACAGTCCAAGTATCCACCAGCTTCTAAATGGATTAAAAAATTTGGTATATTCATACAATGGAATGTTACTTGCTAATAAAAAGAAATTAAATACTTATTAATGTTACAATCTGGGTGAACCTTAAAAACGTAATGCTAAATGAAAGAAGCCAGTCGTAAAAGGCCACATTTTATATGATTCTACTTATATGAAATGTCCTGTACAGGCAAATCCATAAGATTCAATAAATAAAAAGTGTATTAGTGGTTGCCAGGAAATGGGTAGTGGGGATGAGGGGAGTGTTTGGGGAGTGACTACTAATGGGTATGTTGTGTCTTTTGGGGTGATGAAGATATTCTGAATTTAGATAGTGGTGATGGCTGTACAACTTCATCAATATACTAAAACATTAAATTGTGTAGTTCAAAAGGGTGAACGTTATATTTCAATAAAGCTGGTATTTTTAAAAAGTTGCAGTGAGTTGACACTTCCCCCTCACCATATTAAAAAAAAACAAACTTTTTTGCTCCTAGTAGTCATAATTTATCTACTTTTCCTTAGTTTCATTTATCTTTGCATTGTATGTTTTTATATTTGGGAGACTTTCATTGCTGTTATTTTATTTGATACTTATGTGCAACAAAAAATTAAATAAATTGAGATGAAAGCTTTGATTTCTTATGACTAAAAGATTTCAAATGTTTAAATATGTCATTCTAAGAGAAATTTTTATCCTTATTAACAACGCATAATTGATTAAAAACAGATAATGTTGCAAGTATTTGAATTCACCAAGCATGTATTAAAAAATTTTTTTGTTCTTAATTGATGATTGAATTATATCTTTTTTTAATTTTGTTAAAAGCAAATAATTGGAACCACCTGACTTGGAAAAGGATTTTTTGCCTAGTTATCATTCATGCATTTTCTCAAATCCTTGGAACATATCCCCCAAAAGCCTTGCCAACTCCTACCTTAATGACTACTGATTTTACTTGTTACTTTTTACCTTCAGGCACCTTGTTTGATCTGATACATTTGATAAAGATGAAGAAAATTGAGGCTGTCTTTTTCAATATAATATTATGAAACAGGATTTCCATTAAAGTTCCTTTGTGTGCTTTAAATAAATTTTCATGCGAACTTAGACCTGCAGATTCCATTTATTCAAATTTTAGGAAATATCTACCAAATACGTTAAGCGGCAAAGCCATTGTTAAAACATTCATCCAATCTTTCACGTAAACTATGACTGTATGCCCTCTTCACTGATGCAAGAGTAAGGTTTTTAACAACAGTTATGCAGCCCTTTTACTATAATTGATTGAATAGCATGGATTGGGCAGATGGTTTCACGGTGTCAGGTAGAAGGGCAATTGTGAAAGGGGAGATGGGAAGCAATTACTTTTAAGACACATAGGTGAGTATGTTCTCAGGCAAATCTGTATTTTCGAAGGTAAGTTCTGTATAAATATGGCTTCACATTCCTTTTAAAGTCTTTTATCTCCAGGAATATTCTGCATCAACTTGAAGACTGCCATTCTACCGTGCTCTTTGTCCTTTACAAATAAAGTAGCCTTACAGAGCATACATTTTATTTGTCTGCATGTTGTGTGCAGAGAGGTTAGCGTGCGTCACGTTCACTTGGACCACGTTTTGCCAGAGGTGCCGGAGCCGGGCTCCTGTTTGTGTTCTCCATCCCCCTCCTGCCCTGTGCAGGCTTCTGTTGGTGTCCCGGTTCGACTTCACCCCTGGCCACTTTGACTAGTTGATTGGAGCTGGCATCGGAGGTGATTCTCTGTCATAGCAATTTTACTTCATTTTCTCAGTCAGCATGTTTGAATCTTTTCTCTTTTTACAGTTCAGATTTCCTAATTTTTGTTTATTAATGAGGCTTTTTGGGTTAAACTTACTATCCTTAAGTCGGCTTGGAGACGGTTCTCTTCTCCACAGGTCTCTTGCTTTTCTTAGATTTTGTGAACCAAAGCTTCGGTTGTATCTTTTCAATTCTGTATATGAGCAGCATGGGAAGATTTAGTGACTCCAGAGCGCACAGCCTTGGAAGATAAGAGCTGGTTTTTCTCTTTAGAGCAAAAGGATAGAGCCCAAAATGCTTGCTGCCCCATTACAAAGATTCAGATTCCCAAATCTCAGGGCTCTTGCTGTGTGTGCAGGTGTCAGCTGTATACATTTTCAAGCTGCTCTGTGAGAACTGGGACTTGGGGAACCGGAGCAAGATAATGCTGATATCCTGGCTTGTCCTGTTGTAATAAATCCCTGCGCCTTTCACACAGCAGTCCTGCTTCTGCAGCATTCATGAGACTGAGAGGTGAACTTGTTAGCTTGAAAGTAGGCTAAAAATCTCAGATCCTTCACAGTTCTTGACAATATGTAGGAAACATAAGTGAAGGAAATAAATAGGTATCAGAGTGCAGCTCAGAAATGTCATCTTATCCGTGTTTTTCATTAAGAAACTGCATTATATGTTATTTTTATAAATGTAGCAGAGATTTTTCAGATACTTTTGTAGGGTAAAATAAAGCTTTGACATAACTTTGCTATTCAGATTTAATGACAGTTTTAAAGGCATAATAAGCTGCCTGTTTTTTTCACGTGCATATAAATTTGTACTGCACGTATATATGTATATATACACATCTTTTGTTTGGAGGATGTGTTAATGTTTTGAAAAACCAAGTCAATCTTGCTTGGCTTAATCTACATTTTCAAGAAATAGCCTTAGTTCCCTATATGTCATAATGATGTATTGTTTGCCTCTGTTCCAGAATATCGGAAAGAAGATGACCTGCCAAGAGTTCATTGCAAACCTCCAAGGGGTAGATGAGGGCGGTGATTTCTCCAAGGATCTACTGAAAGTAAGCGTTGAAATAGCTGTTTTTTATTTTTATTTTTTAAATTGAAGTATAGTTTATTTATAATAGTACTATATTTCAGGTGTACAACATAGTGATTCATTGTTTTTATAGATTATACTCCATTATTATTATAAAATATCAACTGTGTTCCCTGTGCTGTGCAGTGTATTCCTGCGGCTTATTTATTTTATGCTTAGTAGTTTGTACATCCTAATCCCCTACCCCTAAATACTGGTTTTTAAAATATGCTTATGCTTATATTTTCTGCTTACCTTTTAATCTAGGTTAAGGATCACTTAAGTATTTTGCGTTTTGCTTTTGGTTTTATTGATGATGTTTCTGGTGGGCCTTGTCCTTGACGTGTCTGACTGCAGAATACCCTTCAATTAATAATTCCAAAAAGTCCACATTGTAATGAATAATACTGAGGCAGTAAGTAGATTTGGAATAACTGGTGATACGAATAGTTTTTGATTTACTTGTAAGCCGACTGTCAGAACTTGAGAAAGGTCACAAAGGTATATCCACTATGGAAACAAAAAGCATTTGCAGATTCTAAAGGAAGCAGTTCTCACTGTTCAGTCCCTAGCCACAGATCCACTCAGATCATCTCTGGAAAGGGATTAAATTAAATCTAAGTAATTGTAAAATACCTGAATTGTTTCTACTCGCCTTTATTGTCGGTAACAGCATGTTTTTCCCTATAATCAGATTGTTTTCTAGGAGACAGCAAAATCAACTTTGGAATTCATAACATTCTACAACAGTATAAATGAGATGTGCATTTGATCAGATACAAAATAGTGGTTGATGGGGGGAGGGTATAGCTCAAGTAGCAAAGGGCATGCTTAGCATGCACTAGTTCCTGGGTTCAATCCCCAGCACCTCCTCTAAAAATTAACAAACAAATAAACCTAATTACCTTCCCAGAGAAAGAAAGTTAAAAAAAAACAAAAGGAAGGTCCAAAATAATGGTTGATAATGGGTGTGAATACTTCAGAAGTCAGAATAAGATGTATATGTTGAGAATGTGATTTTTACAGATTTCTATTTGAGTCTAGCTTTCTTTCAAAAGAAAGTATACAAGTATATTTCTTTTGGAATCAGTTCCCTTGAGTGAATTTGCTAAGAAGGACAACATATTTGAATCATGGTATAATGTGGAAATGTACCAGTTGAAAGATAAGTCCTTTATTATATTTTTTGTGACTTTTAAACTATGTAAAATTTATAGAATCGAGTTCTGCCGGATTTGGAAAGCCATATATACTATGAAAATGAAAGAAGGTGTAAAAATGATGAGGTTCCAAGTCTTAACTGGCTTTAATTACAGCTTGTTAAAAAAATTACATTATGAAAAAAAGCAGGAAGAAATAACGTATCTACTATATAAGGAAGGTATTTTTTAGTCCTTTCTTTATAGAGCAAATGCTGCTATTTCTGAAACTACAATTCCAAATGGGAATGGGAAGTAAAGGTGGTGGATTGTGACTTGATAAGTATGTTCTGTACATCCATTGAAATTATGTAGTAGACACATGTTCACAGGTCTTTTTTCAGTCTAGTGGCATTAGCATGGAAAATAATGGAGTCTTTCTGGGAGAGGATTTGTGAGGCTTTTATCAGTTATGTCAGAAATGAAAACTGACAAGAAAGAATTTTATGGTGACGCTTTTAGACTTCAGTGACATTATTGGGCAGATTTAGAGCATGTTTTGATGGAGCTTTCTGAAACCAATTGTAGTTAATATACAGTCCAGTGGCTATACCATTCACCTTGGGTAAACATATGTTCTTTGATTTACTCTGCCAAGAGTCTGTGGATGATTTGTTGCAGTTCAACTGAGATCATGTTTACAAACCTCAGGGGGAAAGATACGTGGTCTACTATTCTTTATTTACAGTTGAGCAGTAACAGTGAAATAACACTGAGAATGACAGTGGCATTTGGCATGGAAATTGTCAAGTAAAACACTGATTCCCTTTCATAACAAACCCCAGCCACTCACCCAAGAGGAGAGTTTTCCATTTCAGCCGGGATCTGGATTTCACTACAGATTTCAGCAGGAAGAGGTTTTCTTAAACCGTTTGTTTCATTTCACTCTTCTGTGTGGCCATCCCTTTCCCTGCTCCTCCTCCCTTCTCCCTCCCTTTCTTCCTCTCTCTTCCTCTGGGTTTCCCTTTATTTCTGTCTTTCCCTTTCTCTTTGTCTCTTATCTTTTCTTCTCTCCTCCCCTCCACCCCCTCTTAATAGTTATCTGTTGATTCCCCGTTGAGATAAATTATTGGGTGGAATTTGGTGTGAAATTACTGGGTGAAACTGGGTGTGAATTTTGGGGACAATATTATACACATGCCACTCAGACAGATACATACATCCATCCAGATAAATACAAACACGTTTGGTATCATCTTACAGGTTCTGAGTAACCCTTTTTTCTCTTCTGCCACCCCTTCTCCAACTTAGACTAAATGTTATACGTGCCTGTAATTTTTTGACATGAGGTAAGATGCTTAAAGTTACAGGGATCTAACCGAGGCTTTTATTGCTATGTGTTGAACTTTCTGCTTTTAGATTTCTTTGGATCAAAAGTAACGTTTGGATTTATGTCTGATGTTCAGATGTCTTTGGACCAGAAGTAACATTTTGACTTAAAGTCTGTTGTTTAGTGTGGCTGTGTAGTCAGGAATACTTACTGAAGGCCTACTGTGTGTTCACCAGGTGTGGACTTGGAGAACATGCCGGAACCAAATGTGCCCCATCCTCAGAGATCACAAACTACGGAGAGTGTTGGAGGGTCCTTTCTCCCTTAAAATGGAGTTATTCTTATTAAAATTAAAGTATAAACTGAATTCTGCTTGTTGTCAGCAGAAATGGTTACCAAAAAAAGACCTTAACATACTTAAAGGTATGAAAAGTGAACTTGTTTCAAGCCTTTAATTGAGAGAATTTGGTAAATATTTTGCTATAAATGCCTTAGACCACGTGAAAAGGATAGATATGGTACATCGAGCCCTTTTTCACAATTTGCAGTTCCACTGCTGCTCCCCTTTTTATTCAAATGACCTAAATAGCTATGTGAGTATATGAGTGCTTTGTGCAAGTAAGAATGTTTCCCCTACAAGTTAGAGTATAAGTTACAGATATCTATGGTGTAAAATGGAATAAGTTGGATACTACAAGATATCCAGTGATAGTGAAGGGGCAAAACCCACAAAGGGACCAGCAAGACCTGCCAAGCAGGGCCACTGCCTTCCCGCTTTTGCGCTTCTGTAAAACGGCTGGCTTCTAGGAAAGCGAAACTTACCCTTAAAATTCCATTGGTTCCCAAAAGCTCACTCCTGCTGGTCCATTTCTAATACCTCATTTGCATATGATGCGAACTTAGTCAAAACCTAAAACCCTATAAAAGCCTGTGCAAACCTGCAGTTGAGGTCCAGAGCTGGGCCCACCGGCATAATCAACCTGAGTTCTCCAACCCTCTGAGTGTTTCTTGGTGTCTCGATGGGATTCAGGTTTCTGTCACAATAGAGTATTATTTAGGTCCTTTAAAGTTAAGTCTGGCTGGGAGGATGTGATGTTTGAGATAGACCTTTAAAATATAGGCGCAGTTTCAGTAGTAGACTTATTTTGATTTTTATTTATGTTAATATTCCATTTCATCTCCCACCCTATTTCCCATTCATGAACATTAATGTTCTGTCTTTCTCATAAGTACTCCTGCCTAGTTCTTCACCAAATCAATACAGGAATTCATTCAACAAACTATGCCAAACCATCTGGTGTGTTTCACGGCTCCACAGGGCCTGCCCTTCCCAGTGCTTTGATATGTCTACCTTCAGGCGTCATTGGGGACCAGGTGGGAAAAAAGGGGGACAAAGGGAGTTCCGCTTTTAGTTCTGATAGGTTTACTAGGACATCTCTAAGACTCGAGTAAATAATAAAACTCTTCAGGACATGAATAGAGAGGAATGAGAATGTGAAATGTGGGCCAGCTCTGGCTGGAGGCTGAACTTCCCGAGAGAATGACAGCACGGTAATTATGACTATGGTCTTGGGAGCTCTGCTGACTGGGTTCCAATCCTGGCTCCCCTCTTTGGTTAGCTGAGGGGTTGTGAGCAAACTCAGTAAAACTTTGTCTCTTGATTTCCTCAGCTATGAAGTGCAAGGTTTTAATTATTAAATGCAAGGTGTGCAAGTACCCACCTCATTGAGTTGCTTTCCCCCTCTGTTTTTTCCTTTTCTTTTCTTTCTTTTTTAATGGAGGTACTGGGGGCTCCACCCCCTTTTTGGGGTGCAGGTAATTAGGTTTATTTATTTTTTAGTGGGAATTGAATCCAGGACCTTGTGCATGCTGAGCAGGCACTCCACCACTGAACTATACCCTCCACCCTGCTAATTGCTTTAATAATTAAAAGAGTTAATATATATAAAGTTTCTAGAGTCTTAGCATGTAGTAAATGATGTGCTAGCTATTATAACTTTTATTTTTAATATTATTGTATTCTTTACCTGTCTCAAAGGGGACTGGAAAAGTACTCCACCCTTTCCTGCAAGTACCTGGACCCAAGGTGTTACACAATTCCTCAGCTGAGTGGGATTAGTGTAGTAGACAGGACCTCTGTCCCTCATCCCTTTCCAGCCCAAACACACACAGCACACTTGTGCAGACACACTTGCTCTATAAGAGGAACCATCTGGGCCTTGACCTTGAGTATTTCCTCCATTTCTGGTAAGATTTTTGACCCTTGTCATTTATGGCTTCCTTTCTTTCTAAAGACTTGTTGGTGCCAAAGAATGACATCAAAGTCCTTCGCAGGAGACATTTATTTGTTCAATACAGTGTCTTGATACAGTATAGGCACCTGACAGTGAACCTTGGTTAACTCTATGTTTTTCGCCTTTTTACCTTGTTCTGACGGTGTCTTTTCTCCTGGACCTTATCCCTCTTGCCATACAAATATTATATCTTATATTCAGTTTGGCTCTTTGATGCTGC